CTCGAGACTTGCCTCAAATTGGACTAGTCGTGAAACGATGAACCGATTAAAATATCTCCAAAAAAATGATATAATATTTTTGCAGTAATAAAGTGTTTTTTGTGTGAAGTCACACTTAAGTATAATATTATCATCAAACACCAATTTGTTGCGTTCCATATTACCCAACACATTACTCAAAAAAAGAATGCTCCAACTTTCTTCCTCTAAACCCCTATCTATATGTTCTAGGTTATAGTCAATCCAATTCGTCAAGAAACTTGCAAAGACCGACTTGGATAATGTAATCCTTCCAACAAGGGAAAGAAAGGTTTGTTTCCAATAGCTGAGCTTTTTGTTGGACTTTGGCTAACACATGTGCAAAGTAATTTTTCCCCACTCGCTTATAATGTAAGGGAAATCCAACATATTTCCCAAGTCAAATGCAAATGAGAATCCTATATACTGACTAATTTCTTACGCTTTGGTGCAGTGTACATTCCTTGAGAAATATATCTTGGTCTTGTCATGGCTAACTCTTTGTCCCGATGAATTACAAAAGCAATTAAAGACATCTCTTATAATTATTGCTCGCTCCAAGGATGCCTCCACAAAGAGAAGTATAGCAAAGAATGTTCCTCTTGGTGGGCTATTACGCTTCAGCACAATAGTTTTCAATGTTCCTTATTGCGTAGCTATAACAATGAGGTGAGCTGCCTCTCTATACATAATATGAAGAGATACGGTGACAACAGATCTCCTTGTGCAATGTTTTTCGTCAGCTTGAACTCCTTCATCATTGATTCGTTCCAAAGAATGTTCATTGAAGAAGAATATACACAAGACATAATAAGGTTAATCAAGTTACTTGAGATTTTTAAGTCATAGAGAGTATCCAATAGAAAATCCCAACCCAATCGATCGTAGGCCTTCTCAAGGCCCACTTTTATTCCATTCACCGTCTATTCCTTCTTTTTCGCCTCATTGAATGTATAATTTCTTGTGCAATTATTATATTATCTATCCTATGTCTCCTGTAACACCCCATGTGCACCCGATGCATTAAACATACAATAGCATTAAACGCAGTTTAATTAAATGCAGAAGCTAATTATTTATATTATTAAAAGTTTTTAATTCATTATTCAACTTAACTTTTTCCTTTTTTTATCTTTATTAGCCTGATGAATTGCAATAACGACACAATTGCATATATAAAAATGCATACATGTCTTATCTCATAAACATAATCAAATACTAATCATGTACTTACATTGAATAAGCATGACAACATCCTTAAAACATGGTGTATACAAATACATACTCTCAATCAACAATAACAAGATCATTAAATAGTGGCATAAACAACCCTTTTGCTCACACCAAATAAAACATACATAATCTGAAGCATAATAAGCATGTCCAAGTACTACAGATATATATATATATATATATATATATATATATATATATATATAATCCATGCATGTCATGATAAAATGTCTACTCTGACCTCTTGCTTCTAGGAGCATCCATCTCATGGATATCTGTACCTAAAAAATGTGCCACAGATGGGGTGAGATTTTGACAAATCTCAGTAAATTGGGGTTCTCGAAGAATCACTCCGCCACAAGTTCACTTACAGGTATAATAAGTTCAACAGAATAATAAAATGCATAATGCTGGATATATAACATGTAACATGTGCAATATCACTATCTATTGGCCAGAGACAAGTATGCATTACACATGTCTGCAACATACTAAAAATATATGAGGATTCCCCCATACCCTACACCCAAAGATGTTGCCTGCATGTAGGACACACTATCACACTCGCATATATATATATATATATATATATATATATATATATATATATATATATATCAACACATTATGCCACAACTCATTTTCGAAGATATCAGATATATCAGTGCATAAATCATTTTCTAAAAACATACCATGCACATAAACCAACCTCCCATGGAGTTTGGTGGAACAACAAGGAATAAACCCTGAGAACCGAAAGCTTACCTGTCAGCTAAGTCATCCAGTACAACCTCCAAGCCCAACCGATCACAAGACAACAGTCCAAACAATGTCACAACCTAGATTTTACATGCAAATCAGTCAAAAGATATAATCTAGCTTTTCATGCCTAACGAGGCTCTATTTCTTTTTCGTTTCACGTACTGCAGGCTTCTTCCAAAGCCTGAAGCACTCAAACGCTTAGGTTCTGACTTACATAATTTTTATAGAGGTTCACATTGCTCATTTAAGGATCCTAGATCATTACACAGGGTTCTGTATAAGCAAAACAGAAGAAAACTTTTTCCTCAAATCAATATCTGGATATTTCGCGAAGAAATGCAGAAATGCATTTCACGCGAAGATATCCTTCAAGACTTCATTTTTAACACTAATAGAGGCCCAATACTCTGTTTTTAGCTTACTCATGCTATTTCACCCTTAGGTTACTTGGTTATCTCTATTTATATGATAAGACATAATCTTTTCATAGAAACTTAAAAGAGAAAGGTAGGAATATATACCCAAAGCTCAAAAACAACAAAACAGAGTATCTTCAAGATCAAAAGCTCACACTTTGCTTTTGTCCTCTAATTTGCACGAATTTGGCTTGACAAAAGAGAGTTCTTACCTCTCAAAGGTTACTCCTTGGTGCTCCAATGGTAGTGTAAAAGACTCCAACTCTCAAAACACACAAGAACCTCATTCGCCAGCCCAAAACAGCAACAAGAAGGTTTCTAGAAAAAATTTTGTTGCCCCAAGATAGTTGCTTTCAAGTGACAAGAGGGATCAAGAGGAAGAAAAATGAATAAAAATAAGGTTTTTGCTAACTACCATGAAGAAAAGGTGTGAACTTTCTTGGGAATAAAGAAGAGTGCGTCAAAAGTTTGAGAGGAGAGAGCTATGTACGTTTTTTGTGAGATATGAGAGGAATAACTAATTTTAGGTTATAATAGGTTAACTCACATAACCCAGCGGTATTAGTTCTAACACCTCTGTTACTTATTTTTTTTTCAAACGTTAAAATACTATCTTAGCATTTTTCAAGAATATTAATATTTTTATTTCTATTTTTTCAGGTCACTTCGCCAGTACACACTTATATCGCCAAATACACAATATTCACACTTTTTTTCCAAAAAGTGACTTGATATTAATAATTATAATTTTTCCTCTAATTATCCTATTTTAATTATGAAATAATTTCCTAAATTTATAATTAAATTATTAAAATTCCTAATTTAGTAATACAGATTCTTACACCTCCCACAAACAAATGCAGATTAGTTAGACATGATTAACAATTCCATGATGGGCTTCAACCCGGTAGCCATAATCTTTGTGATAATTTCATATAGTACATTACAGAAGCTAATAGTTCAGGATTATTTGACTTAGGTATCAAATAAGAGTCAGGTTCATCGCTTTCACGTTGGCTGGTTCCTAAAGACATCTTCAATAAGTGTGCATATCAATTATCAAGTCTCCTACTATGTCCTACTGGCTACTGGTATTGATATAGATGACATGAAGCCCATCATTTAGGATTTTTTTTTGGGCGTTGCGGAGTAAACAAGTCGGTGATTATTTTTCCTAAATAATTTTTCTATTCCATTTCTGTCCAAATATTTTTTACGACTTTCCTTTTAAGTCCTCACATTGTATCCCTTTTTTGGAAAAGATGTTGGTTAATAAAAAGCTAGCAACATTTTAAAAAGCCTTGTACGAACCCATTGAAAAGATAGCTTCCTCAATCTCCTCTCTCTATGGCAACCTCCAAACTCCAAAGCTTGGATCCGTTTTGAGAACTGCTTATCAACTTTGTCACCCTCTCATAGTTAATTAATGTTATTATTAACTCATATAATTCATATCTTTTAATTCTATTGCTGAAATGTATAATTAGAGGTCTTTTAACATAAATTCAACTTTTAAACATGAAGATCAGCTAGTGGCTTAAACTCTTAGTAAAATTCAGGGATAATTTTATGTTTTTTATTTATTTAAATCGTAATTTAAAACATATAGTATATTGCACAATAATGTACAGAAAATCCCATTGTGTTATATACTAGAATATAAGTAAGTGGCTTTTTTAATTTTTTTTTTTTTGGGCATAATTTGGAGGTGTCCTTGTTCAACCTTGTCTGACCATTTTATTCTCGGAGTATAGCTCTGAAGGCTATCCTCTTATTGAAACAGCGGGTTCATTGAACTTTACTATTAAAAGAAGGATGAGACTAATACTCCATTCGAGAAGGAAGACACAAATGTTGATAAAACTTCATACATTATAATAAATTAATAAGAATAAAATAAGGGAAATACTATTCTCATTTCACATGAGGTAATTATTTCACCATTATAATTATCTCATGTTATTTCACTTCGAAAATCCATCCACTTTTCTTTCTTTTTTCTTTTTTATCCTTTAATGGTGGGCCCCACATGATTTCTCTATGTGACATAACATGTTTGGTGCATAGTATATGATAAGGCCTGATAGTGTAATACCTGATTGTATAAGACCTGATTAAATTTTAATACTATCCAGCGTTTGGTATGGTATTGTATAAGATAATATCTTCCAATATTTTAAAAATTAATATATTAAAAAAATTTATTTTAATATATAAATATTGAAATGATATATTAGTTCTTGGGAATTGTATTTGTAAGCAATATTAATACATCAATCCCTTATCAGGCCTAATCCACCACTCCAATGCCAGATTAAGTTATACATCATTTTGATGTATAAAGGGATCTTGCTGTAAGCTTATACTATACGATGGTCACACCAAACAACTGAAAATGTCATAACGTATAGTATAAACTTATACTATCAAGCCTTATACGTTACACCAAACAGACCATCCACGTAAAATAATGACGTCAAAAAAATTGTGCAGAAAATTAGAAATCCCCTTTGTGTTTGTGGGTTGTAACTTGTAAGTTCCATTTCCAAAACCCCCACTCTTTCAGATCTCACTCTCTCTCTCTCTGCACGTACTCGCAGACTCTCTTTCTCTCTCTAATTCTCAATCTCAATCTATCTGCAAATTCTGCATTAGTCCTCACAAATTCAGTCAGATTGAATTGATTATCAATTGAATTCAATTCAATCTGATGATGGCTTCCCCTAATCAACCTCAACCTCCTCCCTTCGATATGCACACTTTCTTCAATCCCCCAAACCCAAACCCTAACCCTAACCCTTCTTCCCCATTCCCTCCGTCATCCTCTTCCTCCTCTTCATACCCTCCTCCATCCACCGGTCCCTTCTCCACCGCCCCTTTCCACCACAACATCCCCTACGACCACCTCCAAATCCACCACCACCACCGCTCCCTCTCTTTCCCCACTCCACCTCTCCAACCTCAACCCATCCCTCCTCCTTCCAACCCCAACGCCGGCGCTCGCCTAATGGCCCTCCTCAGCGCCCCGCCCAACCCGTCGCAGCCGCCGCCACCACAGCAACCAGCATCCACACCTTTCTCCTCAGATTATGTTGCCGCCAATTTCCCCGTTGTTCTGCCGACGATGGGCGTGTTGACTGCCGCCAATGCCGCTGCGGCGGCCGCGCTGATTCGGGCGCCGAGCAGTAAGGTCCCCAGAGGAAGGCATTTGATCGGGGAGCATGTTGTGTATGATGTGGATGTTAGGTTGCCTGGTGAGGTGCAGCCTCAGCTCGAGGTTGCTCCCATCACCAAATATGGGTCGGATCCTAACCCGGTTTTGGGTCGCCAAATTGCTGTGAATAAGTCGTATATATGCTATGGTTTGAAACAGGGGAACATTAGGGTGCTCAACATTCACACTGCGGTCAGATCTTTGCTGAGAGGCCACAATCAGGTTTGGTTTCTTGGTTTTAGAAATGGTTTATCTTGTTGCTTAGTTAGTGGCTTGTGCTGGTTTTGTAATAAAAGAAGAAAATAAAAATAAAACACCATATTTTTTCTTTAGGTAATTACTAATTAGTGTTGCAATGATTCTTGGTGAAAGGTGGCATTGTGTTTATTGTGAAACTAGTGATAAATAGAAAACACCTTAGATTGATTTTCCATTAAAAACATGTAAGTACAATGAGAGTAATCATCAATAAAGGCAACAAAATATCTAGACCCCAATGCGAGGAGCAATGGCATTCATGAGGTTTTGCGATACCCCATAAAGATGTTGACTGTTGAGTCATTGGTATAAAGGATGTTGGCCTGAGTGCAGATGAATTTGCTGGTAGCATGTACACTAAAGATCTGCTTCAAGGAAGGATGAATCATGGCTTTAATGGTGCTACATAGTTGAGCATCAACCTTTGTCAATAGAGGGACCATGTCAGCCTTAGTAGTGATGTGATCTGCATGATACTTGGCCACTGAGCTTTAGCTTTATTTCAGAGGCCAAGTATCATAGGACCATCCAATTTGTAGTTTGTGAAAACTGGGGGCTTTGCCTTTGGAATGGAATATCTTTCGACTCTGCTTGGGAACTAGATCTAACCATGGGTCAGCAAAATAAAGGCCCAAAGGGGGCCAAACAGCCTCTACAAGAAGCAAGGGAAATGTCATGGATGTGAAAAAGGGGTGGCACCAGACCTCTGACTTCAGCAGCAAACAGATCAACAAACGGCGGCGGGGAGGGCTATCTTTTGGGAGATTTTGCATAGAAAGGTCGCGAAAAATTTTATAGTGGCAGCAGGCGGCGGACAAAAAGATGACAAGGTTATGACACCACAAATTGGAGGTCAGAATGAGAGGCCATCACTGTGGAAACAGTGCACCATGTGGGTGGATATCCTCTGAGTCCTTTGGCTGTGAAACCATTATGGTTGAAAAGATGATCCAGATCCATGGGTTTTTTCTGGCGACAGACGGCTGGTGGCCGGAAGGATTACTCTACTATGTAGACAAGAAATCAGAGTGGAAATATGGTTACTGGAAGAAATTTGTCATCGATGGACAGTGAGTCCACTGGATAGCCATGAATTAAAGTTTCCTCTTCTCAAGCTCTCGATTCTACATTGAATGGAGAGGAAACTAGAAGAGGATGAAAAATTTCTGTATGTTTTGCTACTCTACAAGGTGTTGATTATATAAGGAAAGACTTGAAAGGAGAAAAATTGAAAAATATTATTGATTCTAAAAAAAAATGTACAGAGGAATATGATATATATATATATATAGAGAGAGAGAGAGAGACTAATGGGCCTAAAGGAATAAACCCAAATCCTAAAAAATAAGAAAACATAATCTGGCTACTAAAAAAAACAAACAATTACATAATCTGACTAATAAAGGAAAGATATAGTTGAGATTAAAGAATAATTGTACATTGAATAATCATAGTGTATTACAATGTACAAGAGCTCTCTATTTAAAGAGACTAAAAGACCTAATAGGTTGAGCTCATACGATGTGGGACTATATATATACTGAACTATTTTTACAACTATTCTAACACTCCCCCTCAAGCTGGAGCATATATATTGTAAGCACCCAGCTTGCCACAAATATATTCAACCCGAGGACCCCTAAGAGCTTTAGTGAAGACATCCGCGAGTTGATCATTGGAGTTGACAAATTCCGTTTTGATTTCTCCTGACTGAATCTTTTCTCGAATGAAATGACAATCGATCTCTATATGTTTGGTTCTCTCATGAAATACAGGATTAGAGGATATATGTAGTGCAGCTTGATTGTCACAAATGAGAGTCATGGGTTTCTTCTGTTCACAAAGATGGAGCTCCCGAATCAACTGCTTTAACCAGATTAGCTCGCAGGTAGCAACTCCCATTGCACGATACTCGGCCTCTGCACTAGATCGGGCAACAACAGTTTGTTTCTTACTTTTCCAAGAAATCAGGTTTCCTCCAAAGAAAACACAATAGCCTGAAGTAGAGCGCCTATCCGAGGGTGATCCTGCCCAATCGGCATCTGAATAACCACAAATTTCTGTATTTCCCTGATCTGAATATAATAAACCTTTCCCTGGTGCTTCTTTGATGTAACGAAGGATTCGAACAGCGGCATCCCAATGAGAATCACACGGAGAATCAAGAAACTGACTAGCGACATTAACAGCAAAAGAAATGTCCGGCCTAGTCACAGTGAGATAATTGAGCTTCCCAATCAACCTCTGATAACGTCCAGGATCAGATAATGGTTCTTCTTGTCCGAGTAGTAATTTGATAGTAGGATCCATGGGTGTGTCAAGTGGCTTACACGCCAACATGCCAGTCTCTTCTAGGATATCCAAGGCATACTTCCTTTGACAGATAGAAATACCCTGTCTAGATTGTGCTACCTCAATTCCCAAGAAGTAACGCAGCTTCCCGAGGTCCTTTGTCTGAAATTGACTGAATAAATACTGTTTTAACTGACGAATTCCAGCTTGATCACTCCCGGTGAGGATGATGTCATCAACATAGACTAACAAATAGATGCACTTATCAGGAGATGTGATCCTATAAAACACAGAGTGGTCAACTTTACTGCGAATTAAGCCAAACTTCTGAACAGTAGAACTGAAGCGACTGAACCATGCCCGAGGAGACTGCTTGAGACCATATAAGGATTTGCGAAGACGACACACCTTCCTAGACTCCCCCTGAGCAACAAAACCCGGTGGTTGCTCCATATAAACTTCTTGTAAATCACCATGAAGAAAGGCATTTTTGATGTCAAGTTGAAGGAGTGGCCAGTGACGAATAGCAGCAAGAGCAAGAAATAGGCGAACTGACGCCATCTTAGCGACCGGAGAGAATGTATCGCTATAATCAAAGCCGAATATTGAGTAAAATCCTTTGCAACTAGGCGGGCCTTGAGTCGATCAACATAGCCATCAGGTCCAACTTTCACAGTAAACACCCAGCGACGACCAACTGTAGATCTCTCTGGAGGAGCAGAAACAAGGTCCCAAGTGCCATTGGAATGAAGTGCAGTCATCTCATCAAGCATCGCTTGGCGCCACCCTGGATGGGAAAATGCTTCACCTGTGGTCTTAGGAATAGAAATAGAAGAAAGACTAGAAACAAAGGTGAAATGAGGTGAAGAAAGACGGTCATAGCTCAAAAAAGTATAAAGAGGATAAGGGTTACGAGTAGTACGTGTACCTTTTCTTTGAGCAATGGGAAGAGCCTCTGGTGAAGGATCCGGAGGGGAAGAAGCAACAGCAGTGGGCGATGAGTCAGCAAGAGTCGAGTCGACAGGAGGCACAGTTTTGCGACGCTGATAGGTGAGAAGTGGACTGTTCTCAGGTATAGAAGCAATAGGTTGCTCATCTGGAATAGAAGCACCTGCAGCTGGCAAAGACAAGTCAAGAAAAGGGACAGGAAGAACATGATCAACCTGTGACAACTGAGATGGGATAGAATTAAAGGGTTGTTGATCAAGAAAAGTGACATCAGCGGAAACTAAGTAACGCTTAAGATCGGGAGAATAACAACGATAACCCTTTTGAAGACGAGAATAACCAAGAAAGATACACTGAAAGGCTTTGGATGTTAACTTATCCTTACCAGGAGTGAGATCATGAACAAAACAAGTACAACCAAAGACATGTGGAGTTAGAGGATAAAGAGGAACATCTGGAAGCAATAGGTTATGAGGAATGTCATTGTTGAGCACAGATGAGGGCATGCGATTGATGAGAAAACAAGAGATGAGTACAACATTTGCCCAGAAGTGAAGGGGAACTTGCATATGAAGAAGAAGGGTACGTGCAGTTTCAATGAGATGTCTGTTTTTACGTTCAGCCACCCCATTTTGTTGTGGAGTGTGAGGACAAGTAGTTTGATGTAAAGTACCTTGTGTGGCCAAGAAATTAGAAAAATCAATAGAAACATATTCCTTAGCATTATCACTACGTAGAATACAAATAGAAACACCAAATTGAGTATGAATCTCAGTATAAAACTTTTTATAAATGGAAAATAACTCAGAACGATTTTTTATTAAATAGACCCAAGTGCAACGGGAAAAATCATCAATAAAGGTAACGAAATACCGAAAGCCTAAAACAGACAAGGTACGACTTGGACCCCAAATATCTGAATGAACAAGAGAGAAAGAGGCATCAGCTCGTTTATTGACTCGACTGGCAAAAGAGGAACGTGTATGCTTCCCTTGTTGACATGACACACAATCTAAAGACTGAAGACCGGATAAAAGAGGAACCATTTTCTGCAACTTTGAAAGACTTGAATGACCGAGGCGACTGTGGATAAATTGTGGAGATTCTGTGAGAGAGAGTGCCACTGAAGGACGAGGCACATCCAGATAGTAAAGCCCCCGTGACTCACGACCCACTCCAATCATTTTCCCCGTACCCGGATCCTGCACAGAAACAGAATGGTTAAAGAAAGTAATGGTGCAAGTGACGGAGTGGATCAACTTACTAATAGAAATTAAGTTATAAGGGATGTCAGGAATGTAATAAACAGATGTCAAGGCTAAGGTAGAGGTTGGACGAGCTTGTCCAATCCCACGAACTGGGGCTTTGGTTCCATCCGCAAGGGTAAAAGAAGGTAAATGATCAGAATAAGTAAGAGATGTAAATAGTTCCGTATTACCACAGAGATGATCGGTAGCACCTGAGTCAAATATTCAAGTGCCAAGTGATGTAGAATGAGAAACACAAGCAACGGGATTACCAGTATATGGTTGAGACTGAGGAGAAGCCTTCTTGAGAAGAGTTTGGAGTGCAGCATAGTCCGCAAGTGAGAGAGAAACTGAACCAAATGATGCATTGTCTGACTGAGCTATATTAGCAGCAAGAGAGCTAGAATCCTTCAGTTTGGAAGATGTAATGGGCCCAATATTAGTAGAGATGATTCCTGAGGAAGTTTTGACAGGAGGACAAGGAGAGTTAACCTCCGAGAGATCAGGGGACGCTGCTGCCATTTAAAGACAGAATATAAAATCCGTAAACGAAGGCAAACGATATCCAATCAAGGAGAACCACGCGTCTAAAGTGAGACCCACAAAGAACCAAGCACAGATCCGGAAAGAGGAGAAGAAGACGAGAAGTTCTGTCCAAGAACGGCCGGAAAACTCCACCGGAACAGTGCACACGCGCCGGTTGAAGGTGGCGCGTGAGCACCACGCGCAAAGGAGAAGAACGGCGCGTGGCTGACGCGACGGTGGTCGGACCACCATAGAACTGGTCGCCGGGATGAGACGGTCCTGATCGCAGGTAGTCTGGGCTAAAAACTCGCCGGAACAGTGCTTCGGTGGCCTGAACAGTGACGAGCGGCGGTTGTTGGCGGCGGGAAGTGGTTCTGACAGTTGAAGAAACAAGCCGGAGAGACACACGGCTTAGAGAAAAAACTCGCCGGAAGAATGCACGGCAAAGTAGAAGAAAACACCTAAGCAGTGGGCTTAGGGTTTTAGCGGAAGCGGATCCCCAGAGCTAAAAAGCTCTGATACCAAGTTGAGATTAAAGAATAATTGTATATTGAATAATCATAGTGTATTACAATGTTCAAGAGCTCTCTATTTAAAGAGACTAAAAGACCTAATAGGTTGAGCTCATACGATGTGGGACTATATATATACTGAACTATTTTTACAACTATTCTAACAGATATCTTCCATATTTACAACAGAAAAAGGTTCAATGAACCTAGACACTACATTAAACACTTCCCTATTTACACAATACTTTACTCTTTACGATATTTGTACACTGTACTTTACACTATGGAAACACAGTACAACACTGTTTCCAACACTTTGATTAATCTATTTCTTTTTTTCTTGTCAGAGGGTCACGGACTTGGCTTTTTTTGCTGAAGATGTTCATCTCTTGGCTAGGTAGTTTCTGTTTCCTGAAATTGTCAAATGGCCCAGTTTGTTTGTCTATGGATTATGGGAACATGCTTTTTCTACAGTGTTGGTGCAGATGGCCGTGTTTATGTGTGGAAGATCTCTGAAGGTCCAGATGATGAAGATAAGCCTCAAATTACTGCCAATATTGTTATTGCTATTCAAATAGTGGGAGAGGAGAAAGTTGAACATCCTCAAATTTGCTGGCACTGCCACAAACAAGTAATTGCCACATACTCTCCATTTTTGTTCTCAGTTCTGAAAGCTTTAAGCAATTATTGAACTTTCTTTCTTGTGTTCTTGTTATATTGATTTGACCTTTTCTTGCAGGAGATTTTGATAGTTGGTATGGGAAAATATGTGCTGAGAATTGACACCACAAAAGTTGGAAATGGTGAAGCCTTTGTGACGGAGGATCCTCTGAGATGTCCTGTTGACAAGCTCATTGATGGGGTTCAACTTGTAGGCACACATGATGGGGAGGTGACTGATTTGTCAATGTGCCAATGGATGACAAATCGATTGGTATCTGCCTCACAAGATGGCACGGTTTGTATTTTCTTGTTCTAATTAATTGCTAACTTTTTTTCCTTTTTTTCTTTCCAGTTTTGATTCATTTTTGGTTGATGATTTTATTTGAATTGGTATTTTATGGGCATTTATAAATATCTTTGCATCCTCTTATCTATACAGCTTGTAACAAATTTAATTCTTAGCTTGTTGTGCATAGTCTTGGGATAAAAGTAAAAGTAAACAATTAATATGTGCATTTAACAAATGATGGGCCTAAGTTTGTATGTACCTGTAGAAAGATTAATAAAGAGATCCAAGTCCATCAGCCTAAGAATACGGGGGCTGTCTCTAACAATGATAACGGAAAGAAGGTGGTTATTGAGAGATAAATCAAGAAATAATAAAGAGAATCATTCCATGGTGATGTAAAATGGTGAAATTGACTTGCTGGCCAAATAGAAGTGGCTCAATTAATTATGATGAAAAGATTTATTGGTGATGCCACTTGGGTTAAAGCTGAGACAATGTTACAGAATTTTTTCTGATCAGGATAAATAATGCAGTGGCATTAATGTTCCATGAATATCTATGATTTTCTTTTAGCTCGCATTGGTATTTACTAGAAAACGAAACACACATATATATTGGTGCATTAAGGGATAGAAATGGAGATAGAAAACAATATAGCAGATGCAGTTACAGAAAAAACTAGTGAGGACAATGATGGAGAACAACTATGAAACTGGGTAAAAAAGTTGGATATAAATATTTCAAAATTTTATTTTAATCTATACTTAAACTTAAAACTTGTCATTTTTTGTTGAAGTTATTGAACAGATTATGATCATTTGTAAACTCATGGGAAAAAAGTCCTGAATCTCCTGATAGAAAACTACCACTTGTTCTTTTCTCTTCATTAATTTGAATATTCTTATTTCTCAACTGAGTGTACCATTCTCATGGATGAGTATGTCCTGCTTTGTTATTTGTTTAATTTGTAATAGATGTGTCAATCATATTTGTCTTTGATCATCAAATGTGACAGATAAAGATCTGGGAAGATCGCAAGACACAGCCGCTTGTGATTTTGAGACCACATGATGGGCAGCCTGTTTTTTCTGCTACATTTTTTACTGCTCCACACCAGCCTGGTCATATTGTCCTTATAACAGCGGTAACTATATTTATCAAGTTTTCTAATATTGTTGAGTAGGTCTTCTATCTGAATTAGTGTTATCCAGAAGTCAATTCAATTCAATTTCTGTGATAATAACCAATTTCATTCACTAGAATCTACCTATTTCTCATTTTAATGCTTAAAAAAAAATTAGCAGAGTCCTGTATCCAAAGTTCATTAGTATTATCCAATAGTCCTCCATATGTAACTATTCTAGTGATATTTGTTTTACTTATTTATAATTGACACCTGTTTGTAGGGACCACAAAATCGGGAAGTGAAGCTTTGGGTCTCAGCAAGTGAAGAAGGTTGGCTGCTCCCAAGCGATGCTGAATCATGGAAATGCACTCACACATTGGAGCTGAAGAGTTCAGCTCAACCGTCTCATAAGGATGCATTTTTTAATCAAGTTGCAGCATTGTCTCATGCAGGTCTGCTTCTACTTGCAAATGCCCAGAGGAATGCTATATATGCTGTGCACTTAGAATATGGTCCTAATCCAGAATCGACCCGGATGGATTATATATCTGAGTTTACTGTGACAATGCCCATTTTGAGTTTTACTGGGACAAGTGATATATTACCTCATGGTGAACATATTGTTCAGGTTTATTGTGTTCAGACACAGGCTATTCAGCAGTATGCATTGGATTTAGCTCAGTGCTTGCCTCCACCACTGGAAAATGTGGGAGTAGAGAAGTCAGATTCCAGTGTTTCGCGAGATGCAGTTACTGCTGAAGGATTCACCTCTTTAGATTCATCTGCAGGTCGAACATCTGAAATGTCTTTAGCTAGTTCTGCTCCCAAAACAATGATACAAGCAAGTAGCACTGAGAGTGGACTTGTGGCAAGATACCCTTTAAGCTCTGGCCATATCGAGGCACCTATTTCTAAAGAAATCAGCAGCTCAAATATTGAAGCTAAACCAGTTACATTGGCTCCTTCTAGTAGTGATGCTGATATTGTTTGTGTTCCATCTCCGCCTCTTCCTTTGAGCCCAAGGTTGTCTAGGAAACTTTCTGATTTTAGGAGTCCACAGTCTAACTTGAGTGATCATGTTGGGGACCAACCTGTTAATGATTATTCAGTTGACCGACAAATGGATACCATTCATCGGAACTTGTCTGATGTACCACCACTGAATAATGATTTGAAGAATGATGATAAGAAAGTCAAACAGGATGACATTCCTGGTGTACTTAATCCTTCTGTCATGTTTAAGCAACCAACTCATCTGGTTACACCGTCTGAGATCATAAAAGCTGGTTCCTCCTCTGAGACTAATATAATTGATAGAAAGAGTGAAGGAGAAGCAAAGATCCAGGATGTGGTTGATGTGGGTAATGCTGAAGTGGAAGTGAAAGTTGTGGGTGAGGCAAGATCTAATCCAAGCGATGAGTTTGGCCGGCAAGGGCCACAACAAAACCTAGTCTCTGATAGTAAAGAAAAATACTTTTGCTCTCAGGCTTCGGATCTTGGTATTGACATGGCTCGAGAATGCTCTGCGATATCTAGGGAAACTTACATTACAGAGGAGCCTGGTCAAGTTGATTCTATTGTGGGCGACTCACTGGCCCAACATCCTAATGCCAGCGAGGATGGACTCCAAGACTTGGCAAAAGATGTCCATGAAAAGGTGTCTGACTCATCTACATCAATGACGATACCACCATCCCCTACGCCTAATACTAAAGGGAAGAGACAGAAGGGCAAAAGTTCTCAAGCATCAGGTCCATCTTCCCCATCTCCAAGTGCATGCAATTCAACTGATTTGTCTTATGAACCAAATGGAAGTTTGAGCCTCCCTTCTACAGAAAATGCTTTTCCTCAAATTCTAGGAATGCAAGAATCGCTCAACCAGGTGATTATTCAAGAGTTTTTTGCTGGTCACGATGCATACCTAACAATAAATTATAATGTGCATGTATTAGAATGCATTTGGGTGGACTTTTTTGGTGAACGTGCTTATAATAAAAAGTTTTTTTAAAATGGTAAAGTTTTGATTTTAGAAAAAGCTGTAAACAGCTTCCTTTTTTTTTTTTCCCTTATTGCAAAAAAGGCCCATCCAAATGAGCTATTTTTTCCCCTTATATCAAGAACATAAGGGACATATAGATTGTATATGTTTGTATTCATACTGAATTTTTACTTTCTTGCAAAATGTACTGAAGTAACTTTACAGAGTTGTATTTTCCATATTTGATCAGTTTGAGTCATCAATAATTTTGTCACCATACTTGGCAGTTATTGACAATGCAAAAAGAGATGCAGAAGCAAATGACCATGATGGTTACAGTTCCAGTTACAAAAGAAGGTAGAAGGCTCGAGGCTTCCCTAGGGAGGAGCATGGAAAAAGCTGTCAAGGCTAACACTGATGCCTTGTGGGCTCGAATTCAAGAGGAGAATGCGAAAAATGAAAAATTGTTAAGAGACCGCATCCAGCAAGTTACAGGTTTGATTAGTAACTTTGTGAATAAGGATCTACCAGCAATATTGGAAAAAACAGTGAAGAAGGAAATGGCTTCAGTTGGGCAAGCTGTAGTTCGTGCAATGTCACCTGCTGTGGAAAAAATAATATCTTCTTCTATTGCAGAGTCCTTCCAGGTTTGTACACTATCTTTATATCTAGTAGAATTAAGAATTAACTTGGTGAAGTTATCTTGCTGGGATCTAATTGGCACTTTATGCCACAGAGAGGTGTGGGTGATAAGGCAGTGAATCAACTTGATAAATCAGTTAATTCAAAACTTGAAGCTACCGTAGCTAGACAAATCCAAGCACAGTTTCAGACAACTGGCAAACAGGTGCTTCAGGTATGACACTTACCTTGCATTTACGTTAAGTGTGTTGTATCTTATATTAATTCATTCGTGGAGTAAGTGGTATTTGTGATTTCATAGAGTTCGCATTTGTTCATTAGTGTGAAATAATTTCTCCTGTAGGATGGACTCAAATCCAGTTTTGAAACATCAGTGGTTCCTGCATTCGAGATGTCATGCAAAGCCATGTTTGAGCAAGTAGATGCTACATTTCAAAAAGGCATGGTTGAACATTCAACTGCAGTGCAGCAACGCCTTGAATCTGGGCCCACTTCTTTGGCAATGACTTTAAGGGTGAGTATACTTGTTCATTTGGACAAAAATGTCTTGCTTCACTCTTTTGGAAAATCAAGTTCTAGGTTACATTTTATTCAAGAGATACAGATAAATTAATGACTGTGGAAAAAGATGATCAAAGAGTTCAATGATATGAGAAAAAAGGAGAGTGTATTCAAGAGAGATAAATAACGTACTTGTCACTTTCTGAATAGAACTAATTGTTCTAAGTGATGTCAAGACAAAGCTTTTGGACGTGGTTGTTACTCTCATTTATAGCTTGCCCCCCTTTTTGTATCTCAATGGTAGTATTCCTCTTAATTCAATTTGCAGGATTCCATTAATTCAGCATCGTCAGTTACTCAAACCTTGAGTAGAGAAGTTCTCGAGGGCCAGAGAAAGCTAGTGGCACTTGCAGCTGCAAGAACAACCTCGGGCACATTAAATCCTTTGCCCGTCCAGCTGAACAATGGTCCTTTACTTCATGAGAAGGTGGGGTAACTTTGCTAACCACTTGTGGGTCCTTGTTGTAGGAACCCATACTTTTGAGTGTACATGATAGTAATAGCTCTTGCAATTTTGTGATGCATCTCAGGTTGAAGTGCCACTGGATCCCACTCAGGAGCTATCAAGGCTGATTTCTGAACGGAAATATGAGGAGGCTTTCACTGGAGCTTTACAAAGAAGTGATGTGTCGATTGTATCTTGGTTATGTTCTCAGGTATGCCAAAATGTTTCCATATCTTCAATCAAAAAACAAACTGTAGGTCAGCTTGGGTAAAATCTGTTGTAATATGTTTCCTTTGTTATTATCCCTGATTGGTTTAGGAAGGGTAAATTGTGTAGAAGTTCCCAATCCCTTGCAATTCAATTCTTTGCTGTATAACTTTTTTAGGTCTCTGATTCATACCATGTCTATGAATTGAGAGTGGCATTTTGAGTTGTCAAATGTATCACAGGAATCAAAGTGAACCATCATCATCCTGTGCACAACATTCCACATTTTCTTGTTTGTTTTGGGGGAGGAGAAAATGTGTGTGCCATTGGACCCTTATTTTGAGGGAGCATTAACCTAGTAGCATTTTATTAGTCCTTATTTCAGCCAAGCATTAATTAATTTAAGTTACTTGCTGTTATATGGGTGCTTGGAGATTTCTTATCTGAACTTTCCTCAAATAAATATTGATTATTAACAGAATCACTCCATTTCTGCTAAGCAGGTTGATTTGCATGGACTTCTGTCAATGGTTCCTCTTCCTTTAAGCCAAGGAGTAGTGCTTTCACTTCTGCAGCAGTTGGCTTGTGATATTAACAACGAGACACCCCGAAAGATTGCGTGGATGACAGATGTAGCTGCTGCCATTAATCCCTCAGACCCCATGATTACAATGCACGTGCGACCCATCTTTGAGCAAGTCTATCAGATACTGAATCATCAACGTAGTTTGCCTACAATGACTGGAGCTGATCTCTCCAGTATCCGTCTTTTGTTGCATGTCATCAACTCTATGCTTATGACATGTAAATGATTTTTCTCATTTCCAGAAATGTGCAAATTCACTAGCATTCATGGTCGATATGGTAGTTGTTGGAGGACAATGCCAGAATGGTCCAGGTTCAAATGCTGGTAGAGTTCAAAAAAAAAAAAGAAATGTGCAAATTCGCCTTTTGAACTTCTAATGATTGGAATTTTGTACAAAGCTCAGTGAGTTTCTTTGTAGTCATTTTTCTATGAACGAAGGAAGTAGATAAGTAGTTTATCTATCAAATTATTCTGCAGTAACGAAATTGATTTTGACTCCCAACTCACCCGCTCTTCCTTCTACATCATTAGGAAGCCATAATTTCCAAATGCGTTAATTAGTTTAGGAGTAGGATGAAGATATAAGTTCAATTTTATTTTATTTTACCATTAGGTTATCGAGTATTATTTTATGAGATGTTTATTGTTAAAACGCGGAGTATTCTAACAGAAAAGGAAGTTAGTTAAAGTGTTTAATCATGTCGTAGGAGATAAGTTTATTTTTTTATTCATACATAAAAGTATATGTATGAGTTGTTTATTGTTAAAACGAGCATTTTAATGGAAAAGGAAGTTTTGTTAAAGTGTTTAATGTTGCTTATGTGGTAGGAGATAATTTTTTTTTAATATATATATAGAAAAGTACACGAGATCTATGTGAGGAGAAAAGAGAGAAAAAAAATAAATTTTATAATTTTGTGTATATAAGAGATAAATTTATCTCTTATAATATGATAAACATTAAACATTTAATTAAATGTTCAAGTTCTTCGAACTCTCTTTTAGGATTATTCTAATGCTTGGAACATATTAGTTTATAGAGATAGATTTGTGTAGGCATTGTAGATTTTGTTTATATATTATGTAGATTAAATGAAGAATAGATATAATATTATTTTTTCTATACAGGGGTGGTACTGAGGTATCAACTTAAGGAAACTATCCAAGTAAGTATCTTATGTTAATCCGTTTCTAGTGATTTTATATGTAATTATGATGGGCTTATTGTCTCTCTAACAATAGGAGAGACAATTTTTGAGTGTTATTAAATCTGACTCGGGCATCGATCCGGTCGGGGTATTAGGTTACTGGGTCACTGGTCGGATCGGTGGATCACTGGTCGGACCGTTTGACCCGAATATATATAGATATATAAAAATATATATAAATATGAACATATAAATTCAATTATATTCTCCATATCTAAAATGAATTAAACAAGGTTCATTAAATAAACTAAAAAACAAGAAGCATAAATAAATAAAAATGCATGCTATTACTATGTCAATTTAAATTGCAACTCAGAATCTCCATAAATATACCTCTCAATGACATTGTGATTGAACTCATATTTTTCAAATTCAGCTACATTAAAATGACTTATGTCACATTCTCTTAATTTATTATTCCGCAAATTGCTTCAGTATTAGAAGCTAAAATTTGAGGTCATTGTAGAAGAGTATACTAGCAAATAAAATTATAAAAAGTTTTAAAATGAGTTCTATATTTTTTTTGACAAGATGAAACAATTTTGATTTTTTGATTTTTTTTAAATGCATGACCCGACCGGGTCATCGGATTTGGCCAGTTTTGACCGGATTTGATTGGGTCGATGCATGACCGGTCCAATACTTAACCCGAACCAGTTTGATGACCGGTTCGTCAGGTTCCGAGTCGACCCGGATTTTACAACTATGCAATTTTCTCTCGCACACACTATGGAAAAATATGTCAATTTTTTTATTTTGTGGGTTCCTTACGTTTTTTTGTGTATTTATAATGTAAAGAGAATGACTCTCCTGCGAGAGTCATATACCCCAATTATTATTGTTAATTTTAGGGTTCCATCATCATTGAGATGGCTTGAGAGAAATTTATATAGGATGTTTTGAGAAATTTATATATCCTCCTCCATAGGTCTTGGAGTCTTAATAATTTGTAAACTTGAAGACTGTGTTTGGTAGTTTGGAGAGGAAGGGAAATAAGAGGATCTAAGAGGGGTGTTTGATAGTGAGAATTTTTTTTTTTTGGTCTGGGAATCATGATTACTAGAAATATAGTACGAATACGAGTTTTCCGGGAATATTATCAAAAAAGTGTTTGGTAGAGAAAAATATTACTAAGAATATTGGTTAAGTTTACTAATGTATGTGTTTGGTTGATGATAAAATATTGCTTGGAATATAGGATGAATTGACGAAACTAACTTGGACACTATAACTTATGAAACACGATCAGAACAAAAAAAACCATTGGATGCTAAGAACGAAGGATAGAGCGTAATTTAGTCCGAAAACACAATCTACATTTTACCACTTTATTGGTATCCTAAAATACCACATCTTCAAGGGGAATCGTGGTTCACATTTTTATGTGTTAAAGTGAATACTGGGTATCCATATTTTTCAGGACAAATTTGCAACTACCTTCTAACAAACATGAGTATTTCACATTGCTATACCCACTTTACCGGTAATATAAAATATGTCATCGTAACAAACAACCCCTAAGGACGAGGGAAATGAAGGAAATTGAATGGTATTTCATTCCCTTATTTGGGAATTAAAAAAAAAAGGTAAGGGAGAAAATATAGGGTTAATGAGATATTTTTACCATTTATCATTTTTTTAAAAATTAATAAAATTATTATATTTTACAAATAAAATTAAATTTAAGATTTCTAAAAAAAATTATTTGTGTACTTTTCACACTATTAAAAAAAATCATATTTTTGACACAATTTTTTCGTCGAAAGATGACTGAATTTTTTATTCGACGAGATTTTTGTTGGAAATAAATTTGTGTCAAAATTTTCGACGAAAAATAATCCGTCAAAAATCTTGTTTTTCTATCGAAATATAAAACAATAACATATGACACGGGGTGAGATTTGACGCAAATTAATGACACTAGTTTTTTTTTAAATTTTCAACGTAAAAAAAATCCGTCAGAAAATTTCAATTAAAAAACAAATTTTTTCAAAAAGTTTCTTGCGGATTGATGATATTTTTTTTTAAAAATTTTCCATTAAAAAAATTGTCAAATTTTTTTTACTGAATTTAGTTTCCATAAAAAAATTTGACGAAAATGATTTCTTAAATATTTTTGACAAATTTTTTTTCGGAAATATTTTCTGTCAAATTTCTTTACAGAAATATTTTACGTCAAAAAGTTTCGATGAAAATGTGGACGTAAATATTTTCGTCGAAATTTTTGATGGAAATATTTTTACGTTAAAAATTTTGACGAAAATATATCCGTTAAATTAAATTCCGTAAAGAATTTTGACGAAATTTTTTTCCGTCAAAATTTTTGACGCAAATATTTTTCGTCAAAACTCATTTCGGTCAAAAATTTGGACGAAAATATTTTCATCGAAAGTTTCGACAGAATTTAGATTCTGTCAAGAGTTTTGACGAAAAAAATTTTCGTCAAAAATGTTTTCTGTCAAATTTTTTTACCGTAATGGTTTTCGTCGAAAATTTTCTATGAAAATGTGTTCTGTCAAAAATTTGAACGAAAATAGTTCTTAACGATAATGTTTATGTCAAAACTTTTTACATAATTTTTTTCTGTAAATTTTGTCTCTATTTTCGACGGAATATGATTTGTGTCGAAAATTTCGTTGAAAGATTTTGTCAATATTTGAAACGTTTCTAGTAGTATCACATTTAAAACATAGATTACACATGTAATTTTCATATTTTAATACTAAGGATAGATAAGTAATTTTTAATATTTTCTCCTCAAACTCTCAATATGTTTAAATAAAATTCTATCATTTCTTTCTTTCCTAAAAATACTCTCAAACAAGCCCTAAAAATAGGCACACATGCTCACAACTTTGGTTTCAAGGTCCAAGAATTCATGTCATGTGTTCCCCTTCTCCTGTAGGATGTAGCAGGCATAGGCCTACCCAGAATGTGTTAGTTGTAGTTGTTTTTTCTTTCCCTCGTGTATCAATAAACAAATAAATAAATGAGAAAGGGAAAAGGAGATGGAAAATAAAAAGTGCATGGTGGATTTGAATTTGACAGTGTTTTTTTTTTTTTTTTTATTAAAAAAAACAATGTTTAAAGCTTAATTATCAATTTAATGAAGTTGGAATATTTTAGGGGTTTAGTGGACCTGTCACGTGGCAGTACTACAAATAATAATTAGATCATAAATAATATATATTTTTAAATTGACATTGAATTCATAAGTCAAATAATAATTAATAAATTAAATAATTTTTATTTGTTTTTCGCAATTTATTAGAATCTCTATAAATTTTAAAAATGCAAATTTATTATTACTAATGATAATTTGATATTGATTTTTCTTTTTGTTTTCCTTCTTGTTTGAAGAATTCAAATATTTAATATATTTAAATTTGGTGAGTCATATAATGCATATTCCATAATTGCTTGAATGATAGTTATTCTTGAAACATCATGATTCTTGTGTTGTGATTCCCATTTTTTCTAGAGATTAGTCGATATATTTGTTGTGTCTCAGAACCTGACAATTCTTAGCCCGACCTCAGATTCAATTAGTTCAATCTTCTTTGGGTCGGCCTGCAGAAGCATTGGTGAACAGTAATAGCAAATTAAATTTTAAAAACAGAGATAAAAAGGAAGAGAATACCAAGAATTTTTTTTAAAAAAAGAGGATGTGAAGAGTAAAAATTACGGGACCAAGTTCAAAAAAACGTCCAATACGAATAATCAGATTACACAAGATTCACTATGGCTAAATAATCAGAGGACTTCATTCTCTAAAGGATGGATATACTCATTAGTGTCTCACACAAGTGTTTCTCTCTGTAAAAGGGATATAGAATCTTACTGTACATGATATTCTTCTTCTTCAGCAATGGCACTGGGTTTCTTCCTCAGAAAATCTTCATCTCTGACTTGTGCTTTCTCTAGGCATTTCTTTTTCGCTCTCTTCTCTCTGACATCTCAATTTCTAAGTATCTCTTATAAACAAGAGATTATGACACCAATTAATTTGCGTCGGGTTCATCATGAGACATGGACCCAACAATACTCTATTTCATTTCAATAGGTCTGAAGAGTTAAACAATGAGAAGTTTATGTTTCAAGAATTAGTCACTTGAAGTCATTGAACTCTATCAAATATTTTAAAAAAATTGGGAGAAGAGCAAAAAAAAATCAATAATAAAAGTATTATTATTGGCGATATATTTGATATTTTTTTAATTTACAAGGTTTTGAAAGATTGTGATATACAAATGAGAAGTGTATACAGTATTAATTATTATTTGACTCGATGAATTTAATGTTATTTAATAAAATGATAATAATGTTATTATTTATTATTTTAATCATTACATATTAATTATTATCTATCAACTTAATTAATATTTAAATGAAGTAAAAGAATATCGATAAAAGTAAGAGTGATTTTGAGAGAAATAGTGAGAATACTACCAAATGACAATATATGGCTTCTTTCTTTTGAGTTAACTTAATCTTAATTATAGTTTTGAAGGGAGTTGGATTCTCTTGATATTCTTATCTGAAATCGTTTATAGGATTGATTCAGAGTACAAGAAGGTCAGAGATGAAAATATCTAAATTTCTTTCAGAGATGACATATGAGGATCGAACCGACACTCTTTTCTTTCTACTTATTTAATTTTCTTACTATCAACTGATTTATCATCATTTGATATACGCTGAACCTTTTTTGAGTCAAGTCGAATCCCAACATGTTTATGGCATGTGTCAGTCTTTTCATATTAATAGTTTAATCAATTCAGCTACGCCAAGTACAAAATATATCGTTACTTTAAATTAAAAATAATAGTGCACCATAAGGATTTATGGAATTATTTAATGTAAAATAGTAGCGTGTTATTTTTTATTTTTTTTGGTAATCAAGATGAAAATAATAGCGTGTTATTTGTTAATAAGTTTAGTCTACATGAAAAGATTAGTTCTACTAAAAAAATTCACTTTACACGTGTGAGGTGAGATAACCAAAGTATGAGCGTATAAAAAATAAGGTAGAATTAGTTGTAACTATATAATAAAAACTATGGTAAATAGTATTCTTAATAAAAAAATTCAGTTTACATGTATTTCCAAAAAATATATAATACAAACTTTTTTTTTGGGTAGAAATATAATACAAACTTTACAAATATGCTATGATGTATATGGTAAGTAATATTCTTAAGATTATTGAGCCTAAAATAATGTTCATTGTAAGAGCATGACATAAATTTTTGCTACAACTAAATCAAAAAAGTTATCATTGTAACTAGTTAGTCATTCAAAATGCAAGTTACATAATTCAATCCTTTAATTGTAAAAGTGATTTCTCGTATGGGTTTAATATTTCTTGAGATAAATTTAGTTTCTATATACATATAAAAGTATGTGGATTCTATACGGACCCATATGGAAAGAAGATAGAAAAAAAATATAATCTCTATATACTTATTATATATCTATATATATGAGATTAATTTATTTACTACAATAAAAGAAACATTAAACTCTTTAAAAAAAAAAAAAAACTTAAATCGTAACAACCTTGATACCACTTTCTAGAAACTAAATCGAAGTCAAAGATTTAATTAATGTCATCCATCTATTATGAGGACTAAAATGGACGATTAACCTTTTTAAGTGCCTCTTAATTGTCATTTGTCTGAGTTTTAGATGACTATTAATTAATTGAGAGATAAATAAACGAGATTATTTACATTTTAGAGTTATATAAAAATTATTTGAGATAATTATACTTACCATTATTTTCTGTTATAATTCTTAGGGCTTTATTAATCTCATGCAATAAGAGAGAAGCTCTCTCATGCTATAAGACAATCATGTGTGGGACCCACCACTTATAGAAAAAGATAAAAATAATAATAAAAAAACACAGAAATCCATGTACATGACAAAAAAATACTCTCCTACAACATAAGAGTATATTTTCCCTAATTCTTATTACCTATTTTGTTATTTGAAATCAATAGCAGTTATTTTTTTTCTTCTTCTTTTTCAACTATTAATGTTAAATGTATCCACCAACATCCAAATAGATAATAAAAACAATAACATTACCCAAATTATTTTAGACTTTTTCAGTAAGTTTAGCATATCAACGCAAATAGAATTCCCATTTTGTTGTTTTTTAAATTGCAATAAAATGGAAATGAAAAATAACCCAATTAAAAAAACTTTACATTCTCACAAAAAGAAAGGGTCAGAATTTACATCATTTTTTGTTTTTGTTTTTTTCTTTGTTGTATGTATGTAGCTAAAGTTAGTAACTTTCATAACCCAATCACTTTATCGTAATGTCTCTTTCATAAGCCCCATAACTTTTCTCTTTTCATTGTTATTTGCCAAAGCAAAGTTAAAAGCTCTTTCTACCAGCATTGGTCCGTTTCCCATTTCCGGGTCGGGTAAAACCCAGAATCCCGATTCAGGCTCATCGGAGCCGAGAACGGGCGGTTCCTCCCACCACGTGCCACCGCAAGCGACAGATCGTACATCGCCCTCGCTGACGGATCTGAAAGGGTCTCATACGCGTTGCAGATCTCGATGAAGTCTCCGCCGTCGGTCTCCGGCGACCGCCGCAATACCGCGTCGGGGTGGTAGAGCTTCGCCAGGCTCCGGTAAGCCGACTTGATCTCCGTCGGCGACGCGTCCTTCTCGACTCGCAGCACCTCGTAGTGACTCGCCGCCGGCCGCCGAGAATAAGTTACCACCGGTCCGGCCTCTGCTGCCACGGAACGGATCGACAACCGGCGGTGGTTCGCTGATTCGAAACTCGGCCGCCGGATAAACCTGGCGGAGGTGAAGCAGTAGGAGGAGGGAAGAGCGGCGAGTCCGAACGTTGCCGGCATCGGGAAATGAACAGAAGGGTAGCTATGTGTTTTTTTTCCGGCGAGGGGTAAATTGGGAATGTGAAATATTCACTCTGATTTTTGTGCTGAGCAAAGTACGCTTATGAGGGTTATATAGAAGTCAAAGATGGAGAGAGAAAGTGAAGAGAGAAGGAAGGGCATAAGAGTCATTTTGATTGCCACGATGGATGAATACATAACTGTGGGGTTTGTTTAAAGAAAAGGGAGACTAGAAAAAATGAAAATGATGACGTGGCTTATGCTGTGCGTTAAAGAGGTTCTAGAAGGCTTGGAATTTGAAAATGAAACAATAGTGGGGTGGGATCCACGTCTGTCTGCTGCAAAAAATGAACAGAATTTAAAAGTTTTTTTTTTTTTTATCAAAAAAAAAAAGAAGAATTTTTTTAATATTTTATTGTTGTCTATATAAGTATGTACATTTCATTATAAATATAAATATTTAAATTAACAAAATATTTTATATTCTTCCTAAAATGCATCTTTTTATTTAGAAGAGTCGAATTTTATTTTTCAGAGCTTGTTTGGTGTGATGTATAAGTCAAATAGTATAAGTTTATACTATACGTTACAACATTTTTAGTTGTTTGGTGTGACCATCGTATAGTATAAGCTTATACAGCAGGATCCTTTTATACATTAAAATAATGTATAACTTAATCCGGCCTAGGAGGGTAGGATTAGGCATGATAAGGGGTTGATGTATTAACCAATGCAACTCTCAAGATTTTAATATATTATTTTAATACTAATATATTAAAATAAAAAATAATTTTTCAATATATAATTTTTTAAAATATTGGAGCCTTTTATTTTTATAAAAATTAATATATTTTTTGGACACACTGATCAACATATTTCTATAAGATATATTTGGAAGAATTATGTAAATTAATTATTGAAAGGTATTTTTGAAAAAAATATTTATTTTTAACCTATCTAGTATTATACAGTGCATTACCAAACATTGGATGATATTATCTTATACAGTATATTATCTTATACAAATCATGCCAAACGCTAGATAATATTAAAATTTAATCAGATCTTATACAATCAGGTCTTATATTATCATGCCTTATCCTATACTATGTACCAAACATGTCCTTATATTACAAAAATAATAGTTTAGTAAGAGCCTCGATAATGGAGCATTTATAAATAGTTTTTATAATGGAGCCTTTAATGTGTTTATGCAGGGTTAATGTTTTTAACATTTTAAGAGATAATTTTATCTCATATATATATATATATATATATATATATATATATATATATATATATAAATGTATGTATGTAGGACTCATGTAGGGTTATGTGAAAAAAGAGAAAAAAAAAGCATGGTCTACACACTTTTATATATGTGTAAGAAATAAGTTATCTCATATAATATGAGAAACATAAATCTTTTTGAGATATTATCTTAAAATAGTTTTTGAAAATTCTTGAATGAATATATCAAATTTTTTGAGTATTTAATATATTAAGTATTTTATTTATTATATTCTATTTTTAATTTCTTAATTAATATTTCCACTTGATAGTACATACTTAAAATTAGACAATTTTTTTTCTGAAGAGAGGGGATGCTTATGTTTGAGTTTTTTATTTTCTTTCTCTCTCCCATTCAATGATTATCTGATTCATTCAGTCGAGTTGTAAAAATATTTACACAAGATCCCGGTAAGGTCAATGGATCAAGAGTCCGTTTGTTTTCCTTTCTAAAAAAATAACTTTTATCTCTTCTTTATTTTAGAAATCTTTTTTACAAAAGTTAAAGTTGTTTATACTTTTATAAAAATATTTAGTTTTGAAAAAAATATTTGGCTTTTGACTTCTGCTTTTTTTAGAAGTTAAAATTTTAGCTTCTGAAAAATTAAGTTTTTGATTTTTTTGTGACTTCTGCTTTTTTTAAAAGCAGATATCCAAATGAACTAAAAACTGAGAAGTGCTTTTTTTCAAGAAAAAAAAGCATCTTTTGAACAAAAAAAGTCCAGCCAAACGGGTCCTAAAAGATTCAACATCCCGGGTAGGATAAAATGTATTTGATTGCAACTACGGTGATTTGTGTAACTTAAAATTGTGAGTTTAGGTTTATTTTGTATTTAAAATATTAATTACAATTTCTTAATATTTGCAAATAGACAATGTTAGAAATATTATATTAAAATAATTATTGAAAGGATAATTTGTATTCAAGAAAATGTTTCAGTAACATATGCGGGTATTTGACTCTTTTACCTTTTATTAATTAATTAATAACCATTTTGTCCCTCATTCAAAACTATCTATCAATCTGTCCCTCTTTAATCGATTAAGTTGAAAATTTAATCGATTAAATGGTCAAAACGGGCAAAAATGGTTGACTTGAAGATAGAATTGATTAAATCTTCAACTTAATCGATTGAATCTTCAACAGTGAAGCGAGCGAATTTTCAAGTCCTCTGCTTTGGACAGGCAACGTTAAATCACAAGGTGATGGTGGCAATGATGACGTTGACCATGAGGGACAGAGGCAAAGGGGAAACTCTTCTATCCCAGCAACTCTTATACTTAGCACCCTTGTTGTTGTTCTTGATTCTTTCGTTTTTGGGTCTGCTGTAAGTTAGTTACCATTTTTCTCACATTTTGTTTTGGCAAATCCATCAATGACCACTGTCACATGAGTAGTAATTAATTTTGCAGGTGGCATATTCACCCCCTACTCAATCTAGAATCATGGATGACCTCAATCTCGGTGTGGCTGAGGTTTGAACATTTTTGCTAGTTTTGTTGCTTGTTGACTGTTGGAGATTTAATCGATTAAGTTGAAGATTTAATCGATTAAATCTTCAAGTCAACTATTTTTGTCAGTTTTAACTATTTAATCGATTAGATCTTCAACTTAATCGATTAAAGAAGGGCAAATTAGTAGATAGTTTTGAATGAGAGGCAAAATAATTATTAATTAATTAATGAAGGGTAAAAGGGTCAAAAAGCCAACATATGTTGTTTAATGTAACACATGTAAAAATCTAAAATTAATTAATACCAAGGCAAAACATATCGTACAAAAATATATGATAGCAACAAGGAAAAATTAAAGCTTAATCTTAGACATTATGTCTTTAAGACAATTTGTCATCTCTATGTTGCGCAAGATTCATGTACAATTATTTTCCACGATAAAATAAATTATCTCTATTCCTGTGGTGGCACTTTCACATAAAACAGCTCTATCATATTCAATTTATATTTGACTAATCGCATTTGAGTAGAAAAATAAAAAGAGTAAATACCATTTTCAGTCCTCAGCAAATTTTACGATGTCCTCTTTAGTCCATAGCAAATAAAAAGGGTATTCATGGTCCCTAAGAAATTCAAAATGGATCCATTTTAGTTCTTTTGAGGGACTAATGTGGGTCTTTTTTGAATTTGTGAGGGACCACGATTTCAACTAAATGGTTCCATTTTGAATTTTTTAGGGACCACAAATAGCCTTTTTATTTGCTAGAGACTAAAGCGAGCATCATGAAATTTGCTGAGGGCCAAAAATGATATTTACTCAAATAAAAATGTAAATAATGTACAAAAACCAATAAGAAAAAAAAAACTAGGGTATTGAAATTTTGATCCCTTATATATTTATAAAAAAAATAAGGTCATGATACTCAATCAAAGACGAAACAATACCGGCGATGAAACAACATAACTTTTCAAATCAAATTTCTTATTCACAAAAATAATTAATTTAAAATATTAATTATAACAAATAATGTAATAGTGCTGTAGTAAATTTGAAAAAAATAAATTAGAGAAGCTTGAGAAAATCTGAAAATGGATATATAAGACGTTTCTGTGATTACAACAAGGGTTTATTGTTTCTTATATTGCAGGAGATAAATTTATCTCCTACATACATATAAAAGTGTGTATGGTATAACAACCCTAATTCTCAAGTTGTGTTAAACAGAGGTTTAAGTGAGACAGTATGTGAATTTTGTGACTGTTTAGATGACTCTAATAGTTAAATCATGAAATTGTCATAATAATGAATAGAGGGATACAATTCATGTCTAACAAGTCAATTAGGACTTAATAAGAACATTAGTTATGTTAAGAGACATAAATACCAAATTTGTAATACCAAGGGTATTTTGGTAATTTTACAAATTAGGTTTGAACTGAGCTCTAACAGTCTAGTTAAATTCTCTAGTGAATTTTAAGAGATATAAATGTCTTTAATTTGATAGGATGATGTGTAGAATAATTTAAAGAATTAGGTCAAAGATTAAGAAAATTAAAAGTCAAAAACTAGGTTAAGTAAGCTTAAACTTTACAGCTAGACTTAATTCTTAGTCAAAGATGATTGTTTTGAATTATTTGCTATATCATGTGTGTAAGTGTAATTACTTCATTATATGATTGATTGGTCAAAAGTTCAAGTAACTGAGGTGTAAAGTGAAAACCAATAAGAATTTAATTACTTTAAAGCTTTGAAAAAAGTCAAAAATGGTGGTTTTGTGTGGTTTCTTCCAACCAAGTTGGTTCTTCCTTCATTTGTGGTGCATTTTCACGCCACTTTGGCTGCACACAAGTGTGTGTGTCTTCTCTTGGAAGCTAACTTAAAGTTTGATAAATATCTTAAGTGTTTAAAGTAAAAATGTTAAGAAACTTGAGTATTAAGTCTTTGAAATTGTACAAGTGGTCATCTTTCCTTTCTTCTTTCATTTCCATGCCACTTTCTTCTCTTCTCTTCTTCTTCCATGTTCGTGAGCTTCAAGAGGGAGAGAGCTTGAGAGAACTTGATTTTTAGCCATTATTTCAAGAAACTTTCAATATGAAAAAGATTCCTTGTGAGCTTGTGAGCAAAACCCCTCAATCTATACACTTGGAAGCTTTGTTTTGAGTGAGATATCTTCTCCTAAAGCCTTGATATAGCTGCTGTACTCTTGGTATTTGGATGAATTTTTGCTTAGTTTTTATGTTGGAAAGGATTTTGATCATCTAAAGGAAGCTATACAAGGTATTTGATGTTAATTATATTGGTTGGAAAATAATTTCTAA